CCACACCCCCCACGCGTCGTTCGAGTCCAGGCGCTGCCACACCCGCCGCGGTCGTTCTCGTGACAGCGCACGCCCGCGGTGGTTTTTGATGCGGGCTTCGTTGCCTTCATCTGACCTCTGCGTGGACGACGAACGAACGAACGAACGAACGAACGAACGAACGAACGAATGAATGCCCTCTCGCGCTTTTGTGTGCGGCGGTGCGGGGTGGGGGTGGGGTTGACGGCGGGCCACGGGACGGCCGCCCGCAGGTCCTCATCCTCAACGACAACCTCCTCGCGTCGCTGCCCGCACACTGCCTGCGCCCCGTGTCGCTCACGCACCTCGACCTGCGGGGCAACCGCCTGCGCTCCCTCGCCTACGGGGGCCTCCTCGAGCACCTCAACCGCGTGCTCGAGCTGCAGCTCGACGAGAACCCCTGGAACTGCTCCTGCGACCTGCTCAGCATGCGCCGCTGGCTCGACAGCGTCCCCTACTCGGCGCTGCTCGGCGACGTCACGTGCGAGACGCCGTTCCGCCTCCACGGCAAGCACCTCCGGGACCTCCCGCGCTCCGAGCTGTGCCAGCGGCGGGCCGCGTCGCAGCCCGGCGGTGGTGGCGGTGGTGCCGGCGGTGCCGGAGGCGGTGGTGCCGGAGGCGGTGGTGCCGGCGCGTCGGGAGGGAGATTGTCTCGCGGAAACAGCCACGGCGGCGGTGGCGGCGGTCACAACGTTCACAACCAACAGCAGCCGAACCAACGCAACGACCACCACGGCCACCACCACCACGGCCACCACCACCACCACCAGCAGAAGACACAGCAGCAGCAGCAGCAGCGGCAGGGGCACGGTGATCGCAAGGGCGACGGCGGCGGCGGCGGCGGCGGTGACAGAGAAGAGCGGACGGTGAAAAAATCGAAGAGGCCACCGGATGACGGCGGCGGCGGCGGCGGCGGCAACAACGTGACGACGGAGAGCGGCGGCGGCGGCGGCGGCGGCCGCGAGGTCCCGAAGTCGTCGGCGTCGTTTTCCTCGTCGCTCGCCTCCACGACGGCCGCCACAACAACAACGACGACGACGACGGCGGCGGAGCTCGCCGCCACGACGCCGCCGGCGGCGGTGGCGGCAGTGGGGGCAGTGGGGGCGGTGGGGCCGGCGACGACGACGGTGGCGCCGCGCGCCTCCTCCACGCGCCACCCCAAGGCCACGGTGCGAAACCCGCGGCCGTCCACGCGCTCCACCAGCCATCACCACCATCAGCAGCAGCAGCAGCATCAGCACGGCCATCACCACCATCACCAGCAGCAGCACAACCAGGTGAGTGTGTCTACGGGTCTCTCGGCGTGAAAGTCTGTGGGCCTCTGTGTGAAGGCTGTGGGTCTCTGTGTGAAGTTTGTGGGTCTCTGTGTGAAGTTTGTGGGTCTCTGTGTGATGTCTGTATGTCTCTGTGTGAAGTTTTTGGATCTCTGTGTGAAGGCTGTGGGTCTCTGTGTGAAGTCTGTGGGTCTCTGTGTGAAGTCTGTGGGTCTCTGTGTGAAGTCTGTGGGTCTCTGTGTGAAGTCTGTGGGCCTCTGTGTGAAGTCTGTTGGTCTCTGTGTGAAGGCTGTGGGTCTCTGTGTGAAGTCTGTGGGTCTCTGTGTTATCTGTAGGTCTCTGTGTTAAGTCTGTAGGTCTCTGTGTTAAGTCTGTAGGTCTCTGTGTGAAGTCTGTGGGTCTCTCTGTGAGGTTTGTGGGTCTCTGTGTGAAGTCTGTGGGTATCTGCGTGAAGTCTGTGGGTCTCTGTGTGATATCTGTATGTCTCTGTGTGAAGTTTTTGGATCTCTGTGTGAAGGCTGTGGGTCTCTGTGTGAAGTCTGTGGGTCTCTGTGTTAAGTCTATAGGTCTTTGTGTTAAGTCTGTGGGTCTCTGTGTGAAGTCTGTGGGCCTCTGTGTGAAGTCTGTGGGTCTCTGTGTGAAGTCTGTGGGTCTCTGTGTGAAGTCTGTGGGCCTCTGTGTGAAGTCTGTGGGCCTCTTGTTTGAAGTCCGTGGGCCTCTGTGTGAAGTCTGTGGGCCTCTGTGTGAAGTTTTTGGATCTCTGTGTGAAGGCTGTGGGTCTCTGTGTGAAGTCTGTGGGTCTCTGTGTTGTCTGTAGATCTCTGTGTTAAGTCTGTAGGTCTCTGTGTTAAGTCTGTAGGTCTCTGTGTGAAATCTGTGGGTCTCTGTGTGAGGTTTGTGGGTCTCTGTGTGAAGTTTGTGGTTCTCTGTGTGAAGTCTGTGGGTATCTGCGTGAAGTCTGTGGATATCTGTGTGATGTCTGTATGTCTCTGTGTGAAGTTTTTGGATCTCTGTGTGAAGGCTGTGGGTCTCTGTGTGAAGTCTGTGGGTCTCTGTGTTAAGTCTGTAGGTCTTTGTGTTAAGTCTGTAGGTCTCTGTGTGAAGTTTGTGGGTATCTGCGTGAAGTCTGTGGGTCTCTGTGTGAAGTCTGTGGGTCTCTGTGTGAAGTCTGTGGGTCTCTGTGTGAAGTCTGTGGGTATCTGTGTGAGGTTTGTGGGTCTCTGTGTGATGTCTGTGGATCTCTGTGTGAAGGTTGTGGGTCTCTGTGTGTAGTCTGTGGGTCACTGTGTGAAGTTTGTGGGTCTCTGTGTGATGTCAGTGGATCTCTGTGTGAAGGTTGTGGGTCTCTGTGTGTAGTTTGTGGGTTACTGTGTGTAGTCTGTGGGTCACTGTGTCAAGTTTGTGGGTCACTGTGTGTAGTCTGTGGGTCTCTGTGTGTAGTCTGTGGGTCTCTGTGTGTAATCTGTGGGTCTCTGTGTGAAGTCTGTGGGTATCTGTGTGTAGTCTGTGGGTCACTGTGTGAAGTTTGTGGGTCACTGTGTGAAGTTTGTGGGTCTCTGTGTGTAGTCTGTGGGTCACTGTGTGAATTGTGTGGGTCTCTGTGTGAGGTTTGTGGGTCTCTGTGTGAAGTCTGTGGGTCACTGTGTGTAATCTGTGGGTCTCTGTGTTAAGTCTGTGGGTCACTGTGTGAAGTTTGTGGGTCACTGTGTGAAGTTTATGGGTATCTGCGTGAAGTCTGTGGGTCTTTGTGTGAAGTTTGTAGGTCTCTGTGTGAAGTCTGTGGGTATCTGCGTGAAGTCTGTGGGTCTCTGTGTGAGGTTTGTGGGTCTCTGTGTAGTCTGTGGGTCACTGTGTGCAGTCTGTGGGTCTCTGTGTGAGTCTCTGAGTCTATTGGTCTATGCGTGAGTCTATTGAGTTTGAGTTTATTTGATTCCTTACACGGATGATGACGATCCCGTTTTACACAGTTGCACATTTTTTTCACGTACGATTCGTGGTGCCGTACGAGCACAGCAAGACAAAACGACATCAATGTAAGACGTAATATATTTTTTTTTTTACCAGGTAAGGCCCACTGAGCTGCTATGTAGCAATTTTTCTCAAGCGACTCTGGCTATCACAAAAGAGAGCTCAACGAAGTGTACTCATCATCATCATTATCATCATTATCACGCGGACATTGAAAGCAGCAGCCACACACTCTTGACGCGTGATGTCGATTCTAAACGTGGAAGGGAAAACCCGGAGGACCCGGAGAAATATCTACGCGACCACGGGGATAGAGAAAGAGAGAGACACGCAAACTCCAAATATACAGCAGCAGGCGTCGTCAGGGTCGGGATCGCACCCAATACCTCCTGTATACCAAGCGAGATAGTTAACATCTCCTAGCCACCGTGATGATGAGAGAGAGACACGCAAACTCCAAATGTACAGCCGCAGGCGTCAGGGTCAGGATCGAACCCACAACCTCCTGTACACCAGGCGAGGTAGTTAACATCTACTAGCAACCGTGATGATGATAGAGATCAAACCCACGGCCTCCTGCACACCAGGCGAGGTAGTCAACATCTCCTAGCCACCGTGGCCCCCTCCACCACCCCCACTCACCCCCGCCTACTCCTACTATGGTAACGTCGTAGGATGGAGATGTTTGCGTTGTATTTGTGTTTGCGTGATTTGTTTACCTTTCCTATACTTTCTTATTCCTATCGTGCTTCTTTGAGATTGTTTGTTGTTGTAGCGTTCTTACCCCGTGCCCCGACTGGACATCTGTGAACAAGGCGTCATAGCTCGTCAGATTCCACCAGCGGTATAATGAAATATTCTGACTGTGAAATTCTCTCCATCCCTCTCCCATCCTCCACCACCACGACCACCACCACCACCACGACCACCACCACCACGACCACCACCACCACCACCACGACCACCACGACCACGACCACCACGACCACCACCACGACCACCACCACCACGACCACGACCACCACGACCACCACCACGACCACGACCATCACCACCCACTCGGCACGGGGTTCCTCCTCCTCCCTTCTCACCCCCCTCCTCATCCTCCCTCCCCCTCCCTCCATCCCTCCCCCTCCTCCTCCTCCTCCTCCCTCTTCCTTCCTTCCTCATCCTCCTCCTCCCTCATCCTCTTCCCCCCTCCTCCTCCCTCCTCCCCCCTCCCCCCCCACTCATCCCCCCCCCCCCACTCCCACCCCCAACACCGCAGCGCCCCCCCATCCCCGTGCAGTGCCCCTCCGCGTGCTCCTGCGTGGTGCACACCGCCGACCTGGGCCTCAGCGTGAACTGCCAGGAGCGCGGCATCGAGCGCCTCTCCTCGCTGCACCCGCGGCCCGGCGACCCCAAGAAGCTCTACCTCACGGGCAACGCCCTGGCGCGGGTGATGCGCGGGGACTTCGAGGGCCTCCGCGGCCTCGACCTCCTGCACCTGGCCGCCAACCGCATCGCGTACGTCGAGGAGGGCTCCTTCGGGGACCTCGGCGGTCTCCGGCGGCTGCACCTCAACGGCAACGACCTCGCGCGGCTCACGCCGGGGATGCTGGCCGGCCTGCGTGGCCTGCAGTACCTGTACGCGGAGTACAACGTGCTGCGCGAGGTGGCGCCCGGCACGTTCGAACGCACGCCCGAGCTGCGCCTGCTCTTCCTCAACAACAACCTGCTGCGCTGGCTGCCCGCCGGGGCGTTCGCGTCGACGCCCGCCCTCGCGCGCCTCAACCTGCGCGGGAACCACTTCAGGGCGCTTCCCGTGGCCGGGGTGCTCGACCGCATCAGCGCGCCGCTCGTGCAGGTGACGGTGGTTGTGGGGGGGGGGGTGGTGGGTGGTGGTGGTGGGTGAGGGTGGGTGGGGGTGAGGGTGGGGGTGAGAGGGTGGGTGGGGTGGGTTGGGTGGGGTGAGTGGGGTGGGGGGGTGCGGTGGGGTGTGTGGAGTGGGTGGGGTGGGTGGTGAGGGGGTGGGATGGGTAGGTGGGTGGATGGAGTGGGGGGGTGGGTGAGTGGGGTGTGTGAGTGGGGTGGGGGGGTGGGGTGGGTGGGGTGGGTGTGTGGGGTGGGTGGGGAGGGGGTGGGTGGGTGAGGTGGGGTGAGTGGGGTGGGGTGCTGGGGTTGGGGGAGAGTAGGGTGGGGAGGGGGCTGGTGGGGGTGGCTGTAGGGGGGTTGTTTAGTTGTTTGATGGTGGTTTCGTTGTTTAGTGGTAGTGTTAGGTTGGTTGGTGGTGTTAGGTTAGTTGGTGGTATTGGTGTTGGGTTGGTTGGTGGTGGTGGTATTGGGTTGGTGGTGGTGGTGTTTGGGTAGTGGTAATGGTGTTGGGTTGGTTGGTGGTGGTGTCGGGTTGGTTGGGTTGGTGGTGGTGGTGGTGTTGGGTTGATGATGGTGATGGTTGGTTGGTGGTGGTGGTAGTGTCGGGTTGGTTGGTGCTGTCGGGTTAAATCTTGACTTAAAGCTTTCGCGACTGCAAGAATTCATATTCTTTGAGTCTTTCGGTAAAGTCACGTGGATAGGTTCCAAATCTGCGACGTTCCGATCGCGACACAAGCGGCCGTCATCAGGAAAACGATGACGGCCGCTTGCGTAGCGATCGTAACGTCGTGGTTTTTTGTTATTTTCTTTGAACCTATCCACGTGACTTTACCGAAAGACCCAAATAATATGGTGTCGGTTTGGTTGGTGGTGTCGAGTTGGTGGGGGTGGTGGTGGTGTTGGTGGTGTGTGTGGGGAGCGGTAGTGTAGCGGTTAGCGCTACGCTGCGCTACGAACCCGGCGACCCGAGTTCGATTCCCCCTCACGGCCAACAGCAGTGACGATTGTCTTAACCGGTCTTGGGCCTCCCCTAGGTCGACTCAGCCTCAAATAAATACCTGGTGCGGTGTGTGAATATCGCCACTGGGGAGACAAAGGCGGTCGGGCGTGGTGCTGGCCACCCACCCCCTCGTGTACCTTTCTGGCTTTCGTAGGTGCTCGCTAACAGCACTTGCCCCTACAGTCTGTTAAGGCTATACGGGGGACCTTTGTTGGGTCGGGTGGTGGTTGTGGTGTTAGGTTGGCGATGGTGGTGTTGTTGGGTGCCGATCGCCAGATCGTGGTTCACAACATTTGGAGCCTTTTTTTGCAGCGAAAAAACGTCCCGTTGTGTAGCCATAACTGCCCCTGAGAGTGGCATTGACCTTGTACTGGTCGCCTTTTGGCGTTGTTCTCCGGGTCCGACACTGGTGGTGAGACTGGGCCCCCTAAAGAAGGCCGCTGCTGTCTCTGGTGTAGGCCAATCAGTTTCGAAGCCAATGCCCAGATATTATCAGAGCCACGTGTTTGTTTGCATGTCCACCACGAGTATTGTTTGTGCGGTGTGGTTAATGCAGCTACTTGATTCCTTGCAAAAGGTTTCAATTTGGTGTTTTAACATTTTTAAACACAACTCCCGTTTTATTGCCAGGAAGGGTAAACCCTAGGATTTGTGATTTTTGCGAAGATTTGGAGCATTTTAGTTTACCGGTTTCGCCGGAACGCCCCCTCCCCCAAACCCACCCCCGGCCGTATAACGTTGCCAGCAGCCGGACAATCGCGCGGTGCCGGATATAATCGACGATGAACTCTCCGGGGTGCGGTGACGCAGGTGGACCTCCACGAAAACCCGTGGGACTGCACGTGCCCCCTGGCCGACCTCCGCCGGTGGATGCTCGAGGAGCTGAGCGCCGGCATCGTCGTCGGCGAGGTGACCTGCGAGTCCCCGGTGCGACTCGCCGGGCGCGACGTCCGCTCACTGCCCTGGGAGGCGCTGTGCCCTCTCCCGCACGGCGGGGGCGGCGGCGGGGCTGCGGCGGCCCTCGCCCCGGCGGCCCCCGCCATCACCGGGCGGCCTCAGCCCGCGGCCGTCTCCCCGCCGTCGCCGGTCGGCGAGGGCCCCGGACGACCCCTCCCGCCGGCGGCCGACGCCGGGACCGCCGGACCCGGCGCGTCGGAGGTCTCGGCCGTTCCCCTCTCGGTGCTCATCCTCAGCCTCCTGGCCGTGTTCGTGGCGACCGTCTTCGCCGCCGCGGGCCTCCTCGTCTTCGTGCTCCGGAGGCGGAGGCTCGGGCAGGCGGTCGGCGGAGGAGCGGGTGGAGGAGTCGGCGGAGGAGGAGGAGGAGGAGGAGCGGGCAGGGCGGTCGTGCTCAAGCACAAGCGGGGAGTCTCCGGCGGCAGAGGGCAGGTGGGTCTGGGGTTGGCGGGGGAGGGGGGGGGAGGAGTTCGCGCGCGTTGCAAAATTGTTCGCACGGCCTCACGCGGGCGTCCACGCGGGTTACACCACACCTGTGGGCTGTACCATCCCGCCCCCCCCCCCCCTACCTGTGGGCTGTACCATCCTACATGTGGGTGGGGGGTAGGGGTGGCGGTGAGGGGGGGGGTGCCTGCCATCACGTTCATCGCGCAAGGGGTGGAAGAGGAGGAGGTGGGGGTGTGGTGGGATGGTCAGGGGAAGAGGGAAGGAAGGGTGGGAAGCTTCTTTCAAATGTTCCTTGCCGTTGGTTTTTCACACCTGATGATGAACGTTTGCGTTATGGTCGAAACGTCGTGAGAATTTTTATTGTTTTATATATATATTTTTTTATTATTTTATTGTTTCCCTTCAACGTGACTTTACCGAAAGAGCTAAGAATATGAATTACTGCAGTCACGAAAGCTTTAAATCAAAAGAAAGAATTGCCATCGTTAAACCTTGTGACTGTTTACAGGCCGTAGAAGCTGCGCGTCTACATGTTGCCTTGGCGCTGCGTAACGAATAGAACGGAGTAAACTGTGCTCTTTGGAAATCTATTTCAACGTTTACTGAGAATCTTATGCATTCTTTTTGAATATACAATTCTCTTTTTTTTAGATCTGTAACTGGCACTACAGGTCGTTGGTATATGCTGTGACTAACTCTGCTACCCGGTTTCGCCCGGGACTTGGATTCACCACGGCCGGCCGCCTTTGTCTCCCCCAGTGGCGATGTTCACACACTACACCAGTTACTCGTTTGAGGCTGAGTCGACCTAGGGGAGGCCCAGTACCGGTTCAAATAACCGTCACCGGCGGTGGCCGTGAGCGGGAATCGAACTCGGGTCGCCGGGTTCGTAGCGCGAATCGCTACACAGTCACTGCCCCCCCGCCCCCCCCCAAACACAGGATAAAGACAAAGATCCCCCGTGTAGCCTGTGAGACTGTAGGGGGCAAGTGCTGTTAGCGAGCACCTATGAAGGCCGGCACGGCACACGAGGGCGTGGATGGCCAGCACCACGCCCGGCCGCCTTTGTCTCCCCCAGTGGCGATGTTTACTACACACCACGCCAGTTGCTCGTTTAAGGCTAAGTCGACCTAGGGGAGGCCCTGGACCGGTTCAAATAACCGTCGCCGGTGGTGGCCGTGAGCAGGAATGAAACTCGGGTCGCCGGGTTCGTAGCGCAGCGTAGCGCTAACCACTACACTACCGCTCCCCCCACACAAACGGCTGAAATGATAAAGCAATGCTGCGCGAAGAACGCCTTAGACCTGCAACACATTTGTATTTCACTTTACTCGCAGAGGGTTGGGGGGGGGGTGACATCAGCAGGCACACTCCGTTACGCTTCCACATACGGGTCACGTGACAGATGTGACGTCACAGCTCACTTGCCGTGCAAAATATATACATTATTGGGCCCCCCCCCCCCCCCCGCCAAAAAAAATACAAAAGTCTATTTTCATAATGTTTGCATGGTGTACAGTCTGGAAAGTACCCACATGGCAAATTTCAAGTTTGTGTATATATATTTACGTGTTGTGCAGTAGTTTACTGTGATTGGACATAATCTGTCACGTGTAGCACATTTCGCAGTAACTTCTTCACAATAACCGTTTGCGATTGGACGGAACCTGTCACGTGTAGCACGTCTCACAGTCATTTCCTCACTGTAACCGTCCGTGATTGGACGGAATCTGTCACGTGTGTGTGTACGTATGCGTGTTGGACTTCTTTCGCGCCGTGCTAATCGGAGGTGCGGGGTCGGGTGGAAGGACAAACTAACTTCACAGGGCTCAAGACCCCCTTGGCATGAGGGAACAAGCAGCTCCCATCGCGCAAACAAGCCAGTGCTGTGATTATCCATCCGTCTGTCCATACGACTGTCCGTCCATCTGTCCATCCATCTGTCCGTGCGTCTGTCCGTGCATCTGTCTGTTCGTCTGTCTGTGCGTCCATTCGTCCGTTTGTCCACGCGTCAATTAGTCTTCAACGCCAGCGGCACCACCGTAGCTGCCATGAAGATGATCCAATGTGAGCGGAACCTGAGTCTGATGGTTGCGTTGCTGTTCGGGGTGGGATGGAAGAAGGAGGAGGAGAAGGAGACAGGCAAATTGATCGTAGGATTTTTTTTTGGCCAAAACTTGGAGGAGACGCAAGCCCAGAGTCCATCGGAAGGAGGCTCAGTAATTAGTAAATCCCGATCCTGCGCGTCGATGCCATTTGCCCTGGACGGTGTTTTTGCCAGGACTGCGTCCGTACCGCGAAAATAAATAAGCAATTACGTTCACAAGGACACACCGACACAAACGCAACAATGAAAAGTCTTCTGCCGCTCGTCGCTAGCGTCAAAGGTCACCAGCCCGGGCATTGATGCCTTCTGCTCGTCTCCCGGTTCACTTCACCCAGACCCAGTTCGTTGGGGAATATCCACGTTGCTACAGCTCGGGGAGGGGTCGGGTCTATCCACTGTCAAGTCAAGTTCCTATATTTATGGTTGTTGTTGTTTTCACACCGCACACTTCGCGCGCGCGTGTGGCTGTGATACAAATAGAAAGCTGGCTGCGACGGCAATCGCCGATCTTCTTGCTGATGTGAGACAAATAAATGAAGTGGGGAGTTGCGTGGAGGAGGCTCGTTGAAGGACGCTGCTGCTGCTGCTGCTGCCGCTACTCGGCAAGTTGGAGGCAGTCGCCCCTCCGGCAACAACGGAGGGCGGAGGAGCGACGTCCCCAACAACGAGCGGTAGCGCCAGGCGGATAAAATGCAGCGAGTTGGCACGTAAGGCGGCACAGCTGGTGGTGCATCCGCCGGTCATCTCAGCCAGCCAACCGTAGGCACCACCTGCGGTCTGTCCGGTGAACTTTCAGCGAGCCTTCGACAATTCACGAGGCAATTCAAAGCAGGCTGCGATGGGAATCGCCGATCTTGCTGATTTGAGCCGAACAAATTAAGTCGCGGAGAGGGGGGGGGGTTGTGGAGGAGGCTCGTGAAGGACGCTGCTGCTGCTGCTACTGGGCAGGTGGAGGCAGTCGCCCCCCTCCAGCAACGACTTAGGGCAGAGGAGCGACGCTCACAACAACGATCGGAGCGCCGGGCGGGTAAAAGACACGCCAGTGGGTACAGCTGGTTGTGCATCCGCCGGTCATCTCAGTCAGCCAACCCATGGCACCACCTGGCTTGTCCCGAGACCTCCTGTCAGCGAGCCTTCAACCACTTCACGTAGCCTCAAAGTGCACCTAGCCTGGCACAAGCGCCGTGGTGACGTCACCGTCGCTTAGTGAGTATTGGTATTGGTTATCACACCACTACTCGATCCAAGTATTGCTTGCCAACAAATCGATTGCCAGAGAATCGACATCTCTCAAGGTCGCTTCCCCGTCAATGTTGAGCGGCCGAGCCGGATCGACCGAGCTGGAATCGATATGATTGACCTCGATTCACGATCCACAAGGACCACACAATATGTGTATAATTTATGGGGTGGGCAAATATGGTGATCGTTGATTTTTTAAAACTAAACTCGAACTATGTTGTTATTTTACCATGCAAAGCCCCCCCCCCCCCCGAGTTATGTACTTCTTTTTCACAAGCGGCCTGGCTTTCACAAATGATAGCTTAAAGAAGTCGCGGCTGAATCATCGTCACGTGGAAATTTATAGCAGCAGCAAAAAATTATAAAACGCGTGATGTTGATTGTAAATGTGGAGCGAAAAACCGGAGGACCTTGAGAAAAATCCACGCGACTACAGGGGGAGAGACACCGCAAAACTCCAAATATACAGCAGCAGGCATCAGGGTCGGGATCGAACCCACTACCTCCTGTAGACCAGGCGAGGTAGTCAACGTCTCCGAGACACTGTGATGATGATGATAGAGATCGAACCCACGACCTCCTGTAGACCAGGCGAGGTAGTCAACATCTCCTAGCCACCGTGATGATGATGATAGAGATCGAACCCACGACCTCCTGTATACCAGGCGAGGTAGTCAATATCTCCTAGCCACCGTGATGATGATGATGATAGAGATCGAACCCACGACCTCCTGTAGACCAGGCGAGGTAGTCAACATCTCCTAGCCACCGTGATGATGATAGAGATCGAACCCACAACCTCCTGTATACCAGGCAAGGTAGTTAACATCTCCTTGCCACCGTGATGATGATGATAGAGATCGAACCCACGACCTCCTTTCTATACCAGGCGAGGTAGTCAACATCTAGCCACCGTGATGATTATGATAGAGATCGAACCCACGACCTCCTGTAGACCAGGCGAGGTAGTCAACATCTCCTAGCCACCGTGATGATGATGATAGAGATCGAACCCACGACCTCCTGTATACCAGGCGAGATAGTCAACATCTCCTAGCCACCGATGATGATGATGATAGAGATCGAACCCACAACCTCCTGTATACCAGGCGAGGTAGTCAACATCTCCTAGCCACCGTGATGATGATGATGATAGAGATCGAACCCACGACCTCCTGTATACCAGGCGAGGTAGTCAACATCTCCTAGCCACCGTGATGATGATGATAGAGATCGAACCCACGACCTCATGTATACCAGGCGAGGTAGTCAACATTTCCTAGCCACCGCGCGGCCCACTTTTTGTCGTCGGGTGCTCCGATTCCATCGGCGCCTTCCGGGCTCGCACGAACGATTTGCCACTCAAAGCGCCATCAAAGAAAACTCACGAGTCAATGTCGAGGTGGTACCTAGTTTATCGACCCCCCCCCCCCCCATCCGAACAGAGGGAGGGATGATGATGTTGATGATGATGGTGCGCTGAGTCAAATCCCTCCACACCACCTCCTCGCCGAGCAACTTGGTTGAGAACTCCGGTCTCATTCCGGCTGGCACGTAAGGGGGAGCGCGCGTTGGTTGTGTGGGTTGTGCGTGGGGGGGGGGGGGGGGGGGGGGGGAGCGGTGGCGCAGTGGTTAG